AGATGATACAATGCACAATGCAATTCGCAAAAAGAACCTTGTATGACATTGATATTTTGCAACTTTTCAGATCTTTCTTTATTCTTTGTACACAAGAAGATAAAACCATGTAATGTATAACCCACAGGGTCCAATACCCCGTGATTGCCCAGATAAGGATCACTATCCCTTTTCAATTTTACAACAATATTTGTATTGTGTAGAAAACTTGTGTGTGCATGTGTATATTTCTTGAAAAATTGTATTTGTAAAGTTTACACATCATAAGTGATGAATGTTTTAACTAAAATGACTTGTCCCATTTTATATGTTATGATCAGTAGATAAATAAACAATCTAAGTAAACAGGCATGTTCAAAAAGTGGAAAACTACAACTCAAGAGTGTAGCGTTAGCAGAAAAATGACCAATTTTTACATTCTCATTTATACATGTATACACGGAGTTATATACTTATTATAGAGAAAGTTATGTTAATTAACATGTGTCATAAAAAATTCATATTTTTACAGTTTTCAAAAATTTAGAGTTAACAGTGAAAAATATACCAATGCCACCATTATAAGTGCATTTCACCTCTTCTTACAAGAAATTCAAGGAAAATACTTGGATCCATTTCTGAGAACATTTTAAAAATGTCCCATGGTCTTCGTGTAATGTCCCCCCAAAAATTAATGAATGTTTTTTGAAAATCGAGAGCTTCAACTCCAGGCCTAATAAGACTGAGATTTCTTCAATTTGGAAAACATCCTATGCACGGCTTTAGGCAGCTATTTTCACAACACGGACAGACAGATGGCGAACGTATGGACACTTTTTGAAAAAAATATAACTTTCACTTCGGTATCAGGCGTGCTCCAAAACCCCGTATTTCTGTTTGAATCTCGAAATTGATTTTCTGCGAACATTAACATAACTTTCCCTATTGTAAATACTATATTACTTCCTACATGCGTACGAAGAAGTAAAAAACTTATTCCTTAAAAAGGGTAAGTATTATTTCACTTCAGCTACTTGTATTTCTGAATTTCAATGTGCAAAGATATTTAAAGGAAACTATGCAGCCTTTTGAGGGCTGTCTATGGTTTTGTTAGATACCCAGGAACTCTGGGAGAAAAAAAACAAACATAATGATCCAGTTCAGTGTTGAGTGAAAAAAGTAAATATTGGATTGTGTTATTTTTATTTTTCTCATACAGTGCATACTGTCTGAATTCTCATACTCAGTTTCTCACTGCTTATGACACAGCTGATGTGATGTGAAAGGAAGGTTCAGAGGAAGAGGCTAACCTTTGTTAAATATTGCTGTTATACTGTGTATCCATATTTACTATAATGTGTTGGAGTTGTCATAAAGACTGTTTTTGTTAAAGTATTTGATTGTAATGTTTATGCAAGAATATTTAATTTGTTGTTCATGAACTGGGAGTATGCTACTTTTCAAAACATCATTTTGAGTAGTGTTGTTCAGCAGCATTTTTGCTTATGCATGCCTCTACAGTTTTATTAATTGTATAGTTTTTCTGTAGGGGGTGCTTCTAATTCCTTTTCTTTCAAGCAAAAAAGAAAGATCCAATACATATAAAAATATAACAATAAGAATTCTCAAACCCAAACGATTTTGTGCAAAGGAGAGAGTCTTAGCATAATCAAGAAATACAGATCAGAATATTACAGATTGAAAGATACACACAGAATAAAGAAACAGGAAGATGGAAATATCCACGAGTAAAATCTTGTAAGAAAATATACAGAATACTGGTATGGAAACATTCTAATATCTGCAAAAGTTAATTTTCATGCAGTCCTAATAGAAATGAATTGCAATAGATAAAGAAAATTATATTCAGACTAATAATGAAAATTATGGAGTAAAAAATGACCCATTTTGAACTATGAAACAAGACTCCAAATGCACAGTATTACAGCCAAAGTAAATACTTTATAGATTACCATATCAAAAAATTACCTCCTGTGAATAAAAGATGCTTGTATTGACAATGTGCAAAAAAGTGGCAAGTTTCAAAAATTGGCATTTTAGTAAATTGAAGAATTTTGCTATGAAAACGGTCTATTTTTACTAATAAAAATTTAAAAAAGAAAGTACTGAAGACAGCAAATATAAAAAATAAAACATTTTGTATTTAGCCGTGAAATAAATGTCTTTGCTCAGGATACATCTTTGTCCTGCAAAATTGCAGTTCTTTAAAAGGGTCACTTTTCTTGTGGACTGACTTGTTTGGTTCCTTGTTACTGTTAAAAATAACTGCTGACTAAGAACCAAAGATAATTCTGTCAATATGAGAAAAATGAAAGTGGAATACCTGGTAAATGATTTAAAGAACAATTCTGTAAAAATTTTTAGTAAATATCTCAATTTCCAATAATCGGAGATGCTTTCTCTTCTGATTAGCTGTTTTTATCTTCATTAAATTCATTCTTTCTTTAGTTACCAAATGTTGAGATTGTATTGAAAACTGGTAAAAATATTTCTGCAGTGCGTATTGCGAGGAATATTTTCTTGCGTGATTGAGTAACATGAATACATAGCATTAAGTTCTTGACTTCTCTAAACATTCTATGATGAAAGTTGACGGCTTAATCTTCATTGACCCCTTTTCAAATTTTTAGTAATCTGAATACAATACAAATTGCAATTATATAATTTATCACTATAATCACCAAATTTATCTTAAAAATAGTGGTGCTACAGAAAGGCACAGACTTTTCGTTTTTGGTTTTCTATTTCCTTTGGTCTCAGGTGGCTATACAAACTTGCCACATACTCTTGCCAGCTTCTATCACCACCCAAAGTACATTTTTTTGAAATTTTCTTAATTTTTCAGTTTCCTAATAGTAGAACAGAAGTATTATTTTAAGAATATTAAAGAACAGGAAAACTTTGTCCTAGATGGCAAAAAAAAAATTGGAGCCATTTTTAAGAAAATTGCATTATTGTAAAAGGCACTAAGCGCTATTGTAAGATTGAAATTTGAAGCCCTTTTTTACAGCAAATGTTTGAGTTTTCAAAAAACTTCATTTGAAGTAATTTGTAGTACTTTAACTCACAAATGCATAGTGCTTAACAAATTGTGGAAATGTGCATATTAAAGATGTGAGACATCTTTCAAAAACATTACGTTTGGGTAATTTTTGAAACAATAAATAAGTACACCCGAAACTGAACTTTACATCTTATTAAAGAGTGCAATTAGCATCTATAGGAAAAGCTTGGAGAAAAAATTGGGAGACCTTTTTCAGAAAGTGGCGTTTATAGGTTTTTGAAAATGCGGTATTTTGAGCTAGTTTTCACAGAAAACGGTTGAGTTTTGGAGAAACTTTATGTGACATTATTTAAAGAACATGTACTCATGAATATAATAACGGAGAAAAATAGCCGCTGATATAAATAGAAACCACTTAAAAGATGAATCAAAAATATTAAATTTTTGTATTTTTTGAAAGAACAAAAGAATAGAGCAATATGTCTCTTATGGAGTGCATTTACTAAAATTGACTAAAATTGACAAAAAAATGTACATAACCTTAAAGAAAGAACTCGCTATGAAGACCAAATTGTATTTAACGGAAAAATCTCTTTTTTCAATTATGTAGTTGGAGGAAGACACCTGAGAAATTTCAAAATTTTCGAAAATTCAGAGTTAACCCTAAAAATTAGACCTATGCCACCTTTATAAGTGTATTTGATTCTATTTTAACAAGAAATTTAAAGTAAAAATTCTGAGCCGTTTTTGAGAAAATTTTGAAAATGTCCGGGAGCTTCATGTAAAGAAAGTACCCTCAAATTTTGAAACAAGTTTTAAAAATCATAGCACTTCAATTTAAGCCAGATCGATCTGAGAATAGTAATTTTGGAAAAAATCCTAAGTACGTTTTAGGCGCTAATGGTGTTCATGGATTGACAGACATACTGAAAACAACACTTTTTTGGTATCAGGGTACCCCAAAATGTGTATTTCCGTTGAAATCTCGAAATCGATTTACCGTAGCGTTACACACCTTTCCCTATACTATGTATATTACTCTGTATATACGTAAGTATATGGGAAAGTAAAAATATGTTTGATGAGATGATAGATTCAGGTTAGCATTTTGTGCTGTCCGATTTCAAATAGCATAAAGCATTTAGAATTAAATAAAGAAAACAATTTATCAACTTATGATGGGCAAGTACTAAACATGTCAATCGAAGTTAAAATAAAAGTGTTATGTGACAATCTGAATTTTGTATTTAAAACGTATCTGCACCTAAAGTATTTTAAATTCTTTCTTCTATTATGAAATAATTTAACTAGTTTGACCTATGAGAATAACTGGATTTGAACTTATAAATTGCCTATAGATTGATGTCTCTTAAACTTGTTTATGAATCCTGGCTGTTCTTTACAAGCTAGTCTGAGATTTTAAAAAATGTTTATCATTGCAGTGTCAGAATCTGACGCCGTGGGGTCCGACGCGGTGTCCCAAGGAGTACATCCCACCTACGTTCAGTATGTAGAAGGCTCAGAACAAGCCATCTATGCTGCAACAAATGGACAGATGTAAGTGAATAATATAAAACTCATAAAACACTTAATTATTTTCAAAATTACAGTTAGTGTTTTTTTGCCTAAAACCTAACACGTTTTTTTTTAAAAAAGCTTCTGAACATTTAAAAGATTTCGTTGTATTGATTATTTGCAAAAATGACAATTGTCACCATCATTTGTCAATTGAAGTCATGGATGATACCTAATATAGGTATTATATGTTGAATGTTATCTGATACTTCAGATAAGATGTGCTTGAGTTTTTATCGACAATAATTCTAAGGATATTTTTTCTTTCGGTTGGTTAAAAATTAAAATAATTCATGTCTGTCATTGTCAGTATAAAAAAAATTGAACCTAAACTTGTCTCAACATCTGAATGTGATGTTTTATGAACTTTTTGTTCGGCAATCTTATATTATGAACAAAGTCTTCAATCATATCAAAAGGAATTCAATTTAAAGCTCGACTTTTCAATGAAACATTCCTAATGTTTGGGATTATAATACTCAGTTACTTATCAAACCTAGACTAATGGCCTCATTTGTTAATTCTCCAATCGTATATTGTAATAATATTTCTTACAATACATCATAATTAACTATTATGTTAATTTGTTATTGATTAATTTATTCATCAATAGTTTTTAGCATTTGTTTTTATATTTGTTTTGTAGGGCTTATCCTGTGTACACGGTGGGGGAAACCGGCACAATGTACACCCCCGCCACTGGTCAATATTACTCTGGTAACACCACTGCTGTTACATACAGTCAGGTAATGAATTACTTAAAATTAAATTATTATTTGTTGTTAAATTATTGTAAATTATTATTGACCTCGGTTGACTCCAGACAGAGAATTGTTGTTCATGTTTATAGGCTTTTTTTCTCGTATTTGTGGAGGTTTTAAATTTTAATCTTGTCTGATTTTGAATTCAATTACTTCATGTTCAATTTTAACAGTTACATTGTAGTGACATAACAGAGAAAAGCAAAGTTATATTTTCAAATGAAAAAAGTTGTTTGTGTTTGTGGTGTGTGCGTGTGTGCATAAAATCTACAAACACCAAAGTTCCATATACAATTGAATTTCATTAGCATGTTTTTCAAGAGACCAAAAATTTTGAAAGTTGTAAACATGAAAAGAAGTTCAAAAGATGCTCTACTTGTCATTTTCATATTTCTTTCTTCAGAACACTATTATAATATGGAATAGTATCACGTAAATAAAGATGAGAGAATTGCATAATTTATTTGCAAGTAACTAAATTAAAATTAATATGTCAAAACGAAAAATAATGCAAATTAACAGAAAACATTGTACAACAGTTTATTTACATCATTAAATTAAAATTATAAAAACTACATAAATATTAAAATTTTAAAAATTATTTAAATTGTAACACCTATAGTGAAGACAATCACTGTTAATATCAAACATTTTTTCAAAACTTCCGTCTCACAATGTCAAAAAATTGTATGTGACCTTATTTTAATATCTGCTTTTGAAGAGCAGATGTTATTCAAGAAAAATATCTCCATCTTCAATTTTGTTGTTGTAAGAAGAAATTTGGAACCTTTGCATTTTTCGAAAAGTCAGGGAATTTAATGAAAACGAGACCAGCGCTATTCTTTTAAGCATCCTTTGGCACATGTATCACTTTCATTAAATTTACTGAATTTTCAAAAATTGCAAAAGTTCAAAAAAAATTCCAATACAATATTAAAGTCAGATGCTTATTTTTTAATGAAATCTGCTCTACAAAGTTGGATCTTTAAATAAGTTCATTGCAATTTTTCAAAAATCTTCGTAGTTTTTGCATAATGTGCCTTGACATATAAGCAATTTTTGATCAATTATTTTCTGAAAAGCAGCTCTCTCTCTCTCTTGAGTAGAGCACACTACTATTATAAACAGCACAGATTCCTTTTTTGGTGAACTGTCCGTATTTTCAAAAATTGCAAGGTAACTTTTGAGTAAAAAAATCTAACATCAATATTGTAGTTTTGCAATGGAATGTCTTTTTCAAACTTTGATCTTTAAATGAGGTCGTGAACATATTTGTTGCAAATGAGAGTTTTATTTTCAAAATTTGAAATTTTTAGCAAAACTCATTGTTGAGTGGTGTTTCAAGGTGTATGGAATGCAATTTTGGATTGCTGACTAGTGTTGATGTATTACTTTTAAATTAATGGTGTTTTCACAGATAATGCACTATTATTGGTAATGAGTTTTACAAGTGATTGCTGAGTTGTGGTAATATAGACAGAAGTTGCATCAACGTAATATTACATACTGTTACTCATGTGAGTAACGTAATATTACATGTGTTACTCATGTTACTCATTTGTCCTTTCCATCATCAGTTATGTCCATCCATCAGTTATCTCTGCTGTTCTTGGCAAACTCAGTTATAAACTTACTGGAGTGCTTTTTGTATCCCTTCGGTAGATAAAAGTAGAGGATACCATTGTTGGCACTATATAAAGGAGTCAAGCCACTAAAGGAGACACACACACACACACGCACAGAACACGGTTAAATCCAAAGCATTTCCATCCAGTTAACTACTATGCAATTAAGTGCCTTCTTGTTGGTAGAAACAGAATCCTTCATAAATTCCTCACTTTTTGTTTTGGTAATCACAAAAGTATTTTTGGAATTCCTGTGAGGATACATACCAATCACTCAGAGAAAAATGTTTATGGTTTTCCGTCCTTAATTTTCAATGATATCGAAGTCAATCATTAGGTAAAAACCTGTGCCCAGATAACAGCAATTTAAATTTTGTTAGTTCACCTTTAATGCAAGAGTTTTGAGCCAATGTAGCCATATCAAGAATGTTGTTTTCTCCATTGTGACCTGTACATGGTTCGATTTGAAATACAAGACTGAGATAATTTAAATAAGTAGTTAGTCTCACTAACCTCTGAAAATCGCTAAAAAGAATTCTGTACTCGTGTAACAACAAATAATGAACACATTATTTGACCATTCAAAGCTTTTGTGAGCTTGCAGCTTGAATTATTAGCATAATTGTAAAAATGGGAATGAATATGACTTCTGAAAGTTGCAAATATTTCTAGACATTTAATTTGTCAGTTGTAATTTTCTACTTTTTAATTTATGATACTTAATTTGTTATATACTTCAATCTTTTATTCCAACAGGAGTGAGGTTATTAGATTTTTTAGTTTCTGACAATTCTAATGATCATAATTACCAAATGGACTAGTGTTGGGTGTTGAGTGATGGAATGTGTTTTACACAACTCACGTTTTGTTGTGAATATCTTAACAAAAATCCGCTCACCCTAATATTGTCATAATACAAGTAGCATAAAAAAATTGTGTACTTGAAATAAGGATATATACGATAAAAATATTTTTAAGACAAAAAGTCACTGTTTTTTAGTGTGGTTTTTACATATAGAAGATAACGGCGGCGATGGTGTACGATTAGTCGAACGCGGACTGTTATACCAAGCTTTGCGGGTTCACACTCCGATCGAAAGCCGTGGATTTTTTAGGGCGACAAAATCGCTTCGTACGCCTTCCTTCGGAGGGGGAATGTATAAGCCGGCTGTCCATGTTTAGTAGATTACTTGCAATTGTAAAAGGATCCTCAAGGCCTAAAATTGACGCTTCTGAAGCTAATTTCCAAATCGCCTGTTTCTCCCTAAGGAAATACCTCCTTCTCTGGGCTAGTTGATGGAAGGAGCGTAGCGAAATTTGCGTGGTTAGACGGAAGAGCGGGCCTGATGGCCCGAGTCTCGCCATGTGAAATAAGGCAAATTCAATTCAATATATAAAAACAGATGTATGCATTCAGATTTTTCTACAACAGGAAGTTTATGCATTGCTGCCTCATTGATTTTTTGAAAAATGTAATTAAGGGCGTTTTTCTTAGGTTGCTAGCAGTTTGGCTCCAGGTGCAGCAACTGGGCAACTTTTGGCACAAGGCAATGGCACCTACCTCATCCAACAAGGTGTGGATCCAGATCAAGCCCATACTCTTATTGCAGCCCAACGCACAAGTCCTCAGACAGTTACTGCTGTAAGTTTTTAGATTTATTTCATGTTATATTTTAGAGCATGCTCTTTTTCTCTTTCAAGCATGATTGGCAAAAATGGGTACTAAAATGCTTGACCTGCTTAGATTAGTGGTTATTCTTCAAAATTAGTGGTTTTAAAAAAAAAAAAGGTTAAATCAAATGTAATTTTGTGTACTTATTGAAGGTGAAATGTATGTCTAAGTTTAATTTTACTTTTGTGTAGTGTTTTCAAAAACTCCAATCTAGGGGAGGAGAAAGGCAACTTGTTTGATAGGGACATAATTTAATGAAGATTTGAATGTTTTAAATTTTTGCTGAATGTGGATCGTGTGGGCTTCATTTTAGCACACTTGCATGGCAAATTTATTATATTCTTGTGGAGCTACATTATTTTTTCTCTTTACAATGGAGTGATCAATGTTGTAGAGTTGTTTCTGTCATGCATTCCCCTCTCCCTGTCTCCCCCTCCCGCTCTCTCGTGTGTGCCCTCCAGAAAATGCAGAACCTATTGGAAAAATATCTAACTAATAAACAGTTTCCTACAATAATGAATTTCAAATCAAAGAAGATAATTATTACATGGCGTTTGGGTAAATTCATTTGTGAGATATACATACATATACAACATGTATATTTAAGACTGATAACTGAAGGACTTATAGTGAACTGGCTAGCACAAACGCCTTCTTCCATGGGTTTGATCCCCAGCCAATTCATAAGGAATTTGTGGTGGACAAAGCCGGTGCCTGACATAGCACCATAACGACTTTGAGAATTCCAGTCCCATTCCCTCATTCCTTCACCAAATTAGCAAACTCACTTCACCACATTAAGTGTGACACTTTCCCAAATCTGGTGCAAAGAAGGCATATACTATATTGTTACGGCAACAAGGGCTTATCTTCGTTACATTTCAATTCTTGTCCCACATGAACTCTTATTAAAAAATTCTTGAAAAATCTCCCACTGTGGATACATCAAAGCCTAAATATTATATGGTTCATTAATATAATTAATTTTTACTTTTTCATATACGTAGTCTATAACAACTATTGTGGTTCTGTTGATTTTGAGATTTTAACCGATATATACTTTCTAATGTCCTTGTCACAGAACAAGTGTTTTTACTCTCTTGTATGATCTGAAAAGATAAAGTTCAAATGCTGCATCAAAAAGTGCTTATATTTTGAAAGGAAAATATTTTTATTTGTCACTGATGCTAAATAATGTTCTTTCCTTTCTCCTGTATTTAGTGTTCATATATTACTTATATACTGTCCAGAAAAAAAAGTATTGTTACACTAGGAAGGCAATCAAGTAGGCGATAAGGGTCATTAGGAATGGGTGGTCGTAGAAGCCGTGATTAACATTTCATGGATGGTTGACGTCCGATGACATAATGGCAGCGTGGCGAAATGTCCCGGACACACCTTTTGCTCTGTGGCTTTAAAAGGCGCTGCCCATTGTGATAAGGTCTAGTTGGGACTTAGGTGTGCCACGGCGTCACACTTGTTCGTCCTTGAAGCAATTGGACCAGTTTGAGCAGGTTTGGTTGTCGGCCTGAGCAATGCTTGGTGGTCCTTTAGCCGTGATGCGACGTTGGAACTGTGGTGCTGAGTAGAGGAGATGCGATGGTGGTGATGGGTAGAGGAGTATTCTCATAGATGTAGACCCACTTCGGGTTGACCATGGAGCAATGACCATGCATCAAGATCGACGCATTTTGAAGGCAGCATTGGCAGACCATAAGGCCACCCATACTGAGATACAGGCTCATGTGGCTTTCAAATTGTCTTCATGCACCAGTGAGGACCGGTCACTTGCTGCAGTATTACAATTGCGCACACTGCTAGCCTGACTGCTTCTCACACCGAACCATCATTGAAGGTCACGTTGGGCGTGGTGCAATGCGGTGTGTGGTGTGGGTCAACTAGGAGACGGAATGGCAAAGCAGTGGTGTTCAGTGATGAGAGACGCTTCCACCTGCTTTCCAGTAATGGTAGCGTACGTGTGTGAGCATGTGCTTCTGGAGAGTGATCATCCATATCAAATAGGGCGCATCCCAGGAGTGATGGTGTGGAGTGCTATCAGTTAAAATGGTGTTCGTGGAGGGATCGTTGACCAGCGCTGTTGTGCGGCCTGTGCTGATACCTTTCTTGCAACGGGAGGTTGGTGCACTGTTCCAGCAGGACAATGCCTGCACTATGCTACACACTCTCCACGATATTCATCAACTGCTCTAGCTGGCACATTTGCTGGATATGTCCCCGATCGAGCATGTGTGGGACATGATGGGCCAACGCCTGACCTGTAGTCTAGACGTCCCCAACAACACTGCGTGCTCTGCATGAGGCTGCAGTACACGAAATACTTTACCGCAGGACACTTTGCCACTTGTACGATGAGATGCCAGCCCGCATGAGAGCTTGTTGTACAGCCCATGGCGGGTACATGCATTATTGATGTCATTTCTGGTCCATGGTTCTCTCTGTTGCTGGATGTGCGAGCCTCACAAGGCTCTGCCCATGTAATCATGTGTAGTATTTGGTCTGTAAGTGCTGTATCTGTACGAAGGAATAAATTGTACAATGCAATTGGGGTGTTGCAATACTTTTTTCCATCAGTGTATGTGTAGTACAGACAAAATACATGGCCAGATTGATTGGGGAATATCCGTTTTGTTGAAAATCTTGGATGCAGTGCATGCATTCGTGTAAGCAGACAGTTAAAAGGCATCAAAAGAAAAATACACTTTCAGTATCATGGACCTTCAAACTTTCTCCAAACTACATTTATTTTTCTCTCTTTTAATAATTGAATAACTGCAATAAAAATACATAACTTTACCAGTGAATAGAGGAACATTGAAAAAAGTTTTCTTTAACCCCTCTTTATGAAAGTAAGAAAATTTTCTTTTTGAAAATGGAAATATTTGCAGAGGAAAACCTGGAAAAGTCTGGGAATATAGATGTTTTTAAGACTTAGCAGCCCTGTAATAAAGAGATGGGTTTTTTGCATGTTATTTCTTTACACTTTTTCTCTTCAGGAGGGAATTTCAGAAACGATCATTCACCAATGATGGAAGATGTCTGTTTTAAAAAGAAGTGGAGAGCAAGTACGATGAAAAGTTGCCTTCACTGGCAGTTTACAGAGAGAGAACTGAAAAGTTATTTAAACAGAGATAATTTATATCCCTACCTTTATCTAATCTCCCTGAATAACAATTCTATTTATTAGAAATTGTTAATTAAATAAAGTTTTACGTTTTGAAACAATTAATGTTTTTTCTGCAAAAAGAAAACTTAGCATTTGCGCATATGAATCTAAAACATAGATGCAAAATGTTGTTTCATCCAAGTCCTCAACTTTTTTGTCACACAAAGTTCAAAATTATTTCAAA